AACTTGAGACCGTTGCCTAATTGGAAACGTCGAAGAGGGGGTCAACTCAAAACCTGGCTCGACTCAGTCCGTCAGGACATAGAAGTGGTTCTTGGACCTTCGGTATTCGGTCTCCGGCGCTGGCGAAAAGAATGGGTTGAAGTGTCCAGGTCTGCGGCTACGGACCGCCGCGCGTGGAGAAGCACCACACGGGATATAATTGAGGCAGGCTAGATCAGTCATGATCGCAGCCGTTACAAGTACATAAGGTCGTGAAGTCCTGCCACCTAAATCCCAAATGAATGATTACTAATTAGTCGTGTTGTTTGACCGTTTGCGACAACCTGGGACCGAGGACAACTCTGCATATGCGCACTTCGTACCCACAGCAAGTTACGGTAATCAGATCAAAAACCCAACCGCAAAATAAACTGTCTGTTTAGTTGATGAGTGGTCCCAGCTCAATATAACTATGACCATGCCTCTCGATAACTCATTATTTATAAGAGCTTTCTTTGCGTGATTTTCTTCCCTTCCAGTAATTACGGTCTACGAGTACACTGCGGACAAAAACGATGAGCTTACGTTTGGTGAAAATGAGCTCATTTATGTCATCAAGAAGAATGACGACGGTTGGTGGGAGGGCGTGATGAGCGGCAGCACTGGACTCTTCCCCGGCAACTACGTTGAGTCAATTGAATGAGCTGCGGTAGTCGTCGACCCGCCGCGCCTCGCTCTCAAATGAAGTCCTACACCCCGCTCTGATTACTCGCTTCTTTTCTCGTCACAAGTTTTCGTACCACTGTTGCTTCTGCTCACATATTCCTAGTCCTCGTTCTCTCCATGATTTTTCTTCACCATCCGGTCTATGACTGCATGCAGGACGTCTGTACACCCCCATTTTGATTTTAATTTTACGCCTTTAACAGACAAATCAAGTCAACATCGTAGTTTCAAAACAATCAACTAAGCAAATGATTTAATCAAAAATCACAGGACTAAATACACAATTTGGCGGTCCGATCGCTGAGCTCCTTCCCCTTGTCTTCTTCCTCTGTGTTGTCTTTCTCATCGTCTTCCTCGTCTTCTGACCCGCTGTCTGGTTCTGAACCGTCTTCCGCTTCATTATCCCAGTTGTGTGCGCCGCCGTAATAGCCGCCGCCGCCGCCACCACCATCATCGTCGTCATAATCGTTGTCGTCGTCGCCGCCATCGTTCATCCGCTGTCTACCAAAGGCATAGCTGCGGGCTAAAACAGGGATGGTATGACGAATTAAAAAATCAATTCGGCAAACAGGTTTTCAGCGATTCATCATCAGGTCTGTAAAATTGCATAGCGAATGAAAATGAATGAGTGGACAGGGTTTATAAATGTCTCATAGTTAACATCGTTCTTACAGCACCCGCATGGTGAGACGATGTGTTAAGGCTATTGGGAATGGGGG